CCCCGAGTTTCTGATTCAGTAGGTCTGGGCTGCTGCCACGAGTTCCAGGTCATGCTGCTGCTGGTCTGCACACTCAGAGAATCACTGCAGTGGCCACAATCAGCCTGCAGTCCTGTCTGTCTTTCTCCGTGGAGAAAGGGGATGGATGGGAGAGATGGACATTTCATCTGCCTTTTCTGGAACATTCTCCTACCTTTTTTTTTCTTTTTAGACAGTGTCTTGCTTCGTCACCTGGGCTAGAGTATAGTGGCTTAAAGCGTGCACCACCATGCTTGGCTAATTTTTTTGGTAGAGATGAGGTCTTACTATGTTGCCCAGGATGGTCTCAAACTCCTGGCTTCAGGTGATCCTCCTGCCTCAGTTTCCCAAAGTGCTGGAGTCACAGGCATGACCCACTAAGCCTGGCCTCTTTCTGGAACATTCCTTGACAGAGTACCACTAGCTTCTTTGCAGGAAGCCAGCTTTGGTGTCCACAGTAGAAAGTGGCCAGGACCCCAAGAACTTCTCGGAAATCCATCCTGGAATGCTGCTTGTTGGTTTTGTGAAGAGCATCAAGGACTATGGTGTGTTCATCCAGTTTCCCTCGGGTCTTAGTGGACTGGCCCCCAAAGCTGTAAGTTCAGCTTCGTGCACAAGGGCTTTTGAGACGAGCCAACAGGGTTGTGGAACCTGAAGGTGGGTGGGAAGGAACAGGATACTTTACACCTGCAAAAGATTTTCAGGGATGCCACCTGAGGGTGAGCATGACATAAAGGCACCTGGCAGGGGGTGAGTGGAGCTGAGCTTCAGTCCATGCTCCTCCTGCCAGGCCGTGTGACCTCCTGGAGAAAGGGCCCCTTTCCTACTCCACACCACAGCCCTGGGTAGACTGAATACTGTAGTCTCCAGTGTGAGGATGACTGGTCTTGTTTTTATACTCCAAGCATGTTTACACATAGAAATTGATTTTCTTGAGGAGCTGAGTAAAGGTTTTGCAGCTTTTTGAGGTGTTAAGTTACCAGAATATCCTGGATATTGTTATCCCCTCTCCCAATGACATCGAATTGTACGGGAAAAGATCTCAGCAGTCCCATAGTGGAACCCCCGATAGGCCTGCTGAATAAACTGAGACCTAGAGGGGAGGAGATGCACCAAAGTCACGTAAGACAATGCCGATCACATAGCATATAGCTAATTCTTGCCATAGACCATTCGTAAATATTTTTTCCTTTCCACGGGCCTGTCTCCCTGATATTTTGCCTGGGAAACATCACTTGTATCCCCTGCCAGAAAAATTTTTAAAATGGGAGCAGAGGAGAGGGCCCCAGAAACCTGCATAGTGGGGGCAGAGGGTTGCCATTATTAGAGACAGGGACAGCCCTGGTGTCCCTCTGACTTGCCAGTAATGTGCCTTCTTGGCTGAGTGCTCTCTTGGAGGGCTGGACTTGGCAGCCAGGGCCTCTCCTCTGTTTTTATGGAAGGAGAGTAGAGCTGTGCTCAGAGAGGGCTGGCGTGAACTTCCTGGGTCCCATTTTCTTCCACCAGCACACCCCTTTCTGGGCATAGTAAGCAGGTTATGTCTCCTTTCCCTGTTTTCTGTTTGCCCTTCTCTTCAGATCATGAGTGACAAGTTTGTGACCTCCACAAGTGACCACTTTGTCGAGGGGCAGACAGTAGTTGCAAAGGTGACCAACGTGGATGAGGAGAAGCAGCGGATGCTGCTGTCGCTGCGGCTATCGGACTGCGCTCTGGGGGACTTGGCCGCTGCCAGCCTCCTCCTCCTGAGGCAGTGCCTGGAGGAGTTGCAGGGCGTGCGCAGCCTCATGCGCAACCGAGGTGGGGTGCCTCAGGGCCCGTTGGAGGGGTAAGGAGTGGGAGGGTGTGCATTGTAAATTATATCTGTTTCTGGGCTTCTCAGAACACAAAAAACAATTTGGTAATCTTTTTTTTTAATGGAGGTATGACCTGCATAAAATGCACAAATCATTAAGTGTACAGCTCAGTAAGTGTTTATAAAATGAATAGCACTGTAAGATAAAGGTCATTACAAGAATCCCGGAAGTCCTCTTGTCCCCCCTGCCAGTCCAGAATCAAAATGTCCCTTAGTTCTGTGGCCTCATGTTTGCATTTGTTGTGAATTCATGACCTCTTCACTTTTCATTCCTTTATTCAGCAGATACATAGTGGATCATGAAATGGAACAGGGACGTGCTAGACTCCGTGAGGGGTTATTATTAATATTCATCTGTGTTAGACTTTGAACCATTGCGTAGGATTGTTAATGGAATTTGGGCATACCAGGCTTGAGAGGGTAGAATGAAAATTCAGAAACCAAAGGGAAGCCTGTGGTCCTGGTACTTCTTGGCTATTTTCATGAATTATGGCCAGGCAGGATTAGCAAGGAGCATAAGTCTCTGCCTGTGACAAGGGTTTTCATGGATACTGGACATTTTTGCAAAAAGTGGTTTTACCTCGTCAGTGGTTGCAGTGCTCCACTGTCCTCCATGATGACAGCATACTTCCCGGGGAAAATGTTTTGTGGTACTAATCCCTGCTTCCTCTGGATCTCTGGCAGACTCTGTGTTAATCCAGACGCTGGCTGAGATGACCGCAGGAATGGTCCTTGACTTAGTGGTGCAGGAGGTGTTGGAAGATGGCTCTGTGTTGTTCAGCGGGGGCCCAGTGCCTGGCTTGGTCCTGAGAGCCAGCAAATATCATCGGGCAGGTGAGTGCTTCTGTCTCGCCTTTTGTGGTTGGTAGGGGAGACCCTTTCCTGTTGCTCCCTCTCCTAGATACAGAATTTCCAAATACATAGGGTAGATGTGCTATCTTGTGTGAGTGCAAATCAAGACAATTCTCAGCACAGTGAAGAAGGTTTAGGTATGAATCCTTTAATTGTTATCATTGGGTAAACTTAGATTTTTACCTTACTATATCAGGTTGCATAAATTAAGGCCCTCCTGAACTTGAACTATGGGAGATGGACCCTTGGTTTCCCTAACTATGGCCTATGTAGACCTAGGACATGTGTCATTTTTCCTTTTTTGAGTCTAAGGGATGGCACCTGCATGCAAAAAGGTGCTGTTCTTCTTTCACCCTGTTCCAGGAGGATGATCACAGTGTTTGGTTCTGTATTGCAGGGCAGGAGGTGGAATCTGGGCAGAAAAAGAAGGTTGTGATCTTAAATGTTGATATGTTGAAGTTGGAAGTCCATGTTTCCCTTCACCAGGACTTGGTGAATAGAAAAGCTAAAAAGGTAAGCTTGCTCCTGATTTCTATTTCCATGGAGTCACATGACACACCCTTTCCATACCATGCTCCTAGCTCAAGGGTTCTAGTTCAGATGCCTGTAGCTAGGGTGACCATATGCCTGGACAAATCCAGGACATTCCCAGTTTTGACCTCTTGTTCTGGTGTGGTTAATAGCACTGACTTTCATTTTGGTTCAAGTGATAAATTATATGGTCACCCTATGGTTGGGCCAAGGAAGTATCGTGAAGGAGTGAGGTTGGCTGTGTAGGTAGGGAGTGGCAAGACCTGGACTCTGACACACAGGAGAATGAATGCCCAGCTGGCTTGGGGAAGACTGTTCAGATCCATCTGGCCAGGTGGGAATATCTGGGTCTAATGTTGCTGAGTCTTTGATTTTTAACAGAAGGCAGAATTTGAATTTTTATTCGAAATAAATGTTGAAAATTTTAGAAACTAATTTGTTTTCTAAAAAACATCATATGAACCAAACAAAGCATGTCTGTGGGCAGCTTGGACCTGCAGACCCTCCACACACTTTCCTGCCTTGCCTCCCGTACACGTTTGTGTGATGTAAGAATGGGTTTGAGGGAAATATCAAAATTAGTATTTTTCTCTGTGTGATGGATATGTTTGATCATTGTTAAAGGCACTTATTAAACACCTAATTGCATAGAGTATGGTACAATGTAGATAGAATCCTTAATCTCTAGCTGCTTAGAATCTTAAGACTTTAAGAGAGAATAGAAAGCAGTACTAACCCCTCACTC